CAGCCTTCGTTCTGGACTCCTGTCATGACAATAATACTGAACAGCAAACAGCAAACGCTGGCAAGGTTGTGGAGAAGCTGGAACCCTTATTCACTATTGGTGGAAGTGTAAAATGGTGCGACCACTATGGAAGGCACTTTGGCGCGTTCTCAAAAAAGTTGCAAATAGAAATACCATTTGACCCAGCAATTCTGCTACTGGGAATATACCCCAAAGAAACCATAACCGCCACTCAAGCAAATATATGCACACCCATGTCTATCGCAGCTTTGTTCACAATAGCAAAGAGTTGGAAACAACCTAAGTGCTCATCAACAAACAAATGGATAGAGAAGCTTTGGTATATTCACACAATAGAATGCTGCATTGAAAAATAAAGAACTCATGAAATATTAGTCAAAATGGTGACCCTGGAGGACATTATGCTGAGCTAAATATCTCAGTCACAAAAGGACAAATACTGCAGAGTGCCACTGTTGTAAAACAGGACTGATATCAGGGTTGGAGGAAGACTGAGAAAGATGGGATAAATGATGTATACTGCATTGTCCTCACTGTTTTTAAATCATCTTCAACAGCACCTTGCTTGCATGTGGTTAATGATATTGCTTGATAGTTTCCACATCCTGTTGAATCACCTTTCTTGGGAATGGGAACAAATATGGACCTTTTGCAATCTGTTGGCCAGACTGCTGTCCTCCAAATTTCCTATCATAGACTGGTGAGCACATCCAGGGATGCAGCTGTTAAGTAAAACAAGTCAATTTGTTGCCCATTGATCCCTGGGGCTTTATTTTTTGCCAATACCTTCAATGCCGCTTCCTCTTTCTCCTTCATTACCATTGGCTTCTGCTCATATGGTGCTTCCTGACATTTTTTCATATTATTCGGTTCTTTTCGGTACGGTGATTCTGTGCATTACCATCATCTTCCTTTGATGCGTTCTGAGTCTTTAAATATCTTACCCATAGCATCTTTAAATATTACAACTCAAGGCTTCAATTTTCTTTTTCAAGCGTCTCAGTTTGAGAGATGCAGAGCAAATTCTTTCCTTGTTTTTCTCCAATTCCAGCTCTCTGCACATTACGTTATGATATGTTGCTTTGTCTTTCTGAGCTGCCCTTTGAAATCTTCTGTTCATCTTTTACTTCAGCATGTTTCCCTTTGCTCTGGCTTCTAAACACTCTTATGCAAATTTTAGAGTCTCTGATAACATCCATTTAAGTTTCTTCTGTCTCCTCTGTCTTTTTTTAATATATGTAGAATAGAAAATACATAAAGTATTATATAGTTTAAAGAACAATGTGTTTATTCTACTTAACTTATCCATACTGTAGCAGGCTTTTAAAATTCATTTAATTATGTGATCATGAAAGATGGTGAAGAGATTGAGATTGTTAACAGTTTTAGTTTGCTTGGCTCTATAATCAACACTCTTGGTACCAGCAGCTAGGACATTAAAAGACAAATTGCATTGGGAAAGTCTGCTGTCAGAGACCTCTCCAAAGTTCTGAAGACCAATGATGTCAGTCTGCAGAGTAAGGTGTGCCTGATCCAAGTAATAGTCTTTGAAATTGCCTGCTATGCATCAGAGAGCTGTACAATGACTAGGAGTGATAGAATCAGAATTGATGCCTTTGAGCTGGACAAGAGTATTGAGTATACCATGGACTGCTAAGAAAACAAACAGGTTCACCCTAGAGAGGGTAAGACCAGGCTGCTCCTTGGAGGCAAGGACTCTGAAACTTTGTCTGACATACTTTGGACATGTTGCAAGGCAGCACCAGTCCTTGGAGAGGGACATCATGCTTGGGAGGGTGGAAGAAGACCCTTGATGAGATGGATTGATTCAGTGACTGGACTAATGGAGATAGGTGTGTCAGAGACAATAAGATTGACACAGGATATAGCAGGGTTCAGGGCTGTTGTACACAGGGTCACTATGAGTCACAGGCAACTCGACAGCACATAACAACAACAACATATGATTTCATTAATATTTTATATTCAATAACTCTACATAAAATATAATTATATTAGTATGTTGTGGACTACACATGAACATTTAAAAGTCGTGCCAAATATTGGATAGTTCATATTGTAGTCTTATTCTATGTATCAGGAAGTTTCACAAGTCTCTCCCTAGTAAAATGCTCTGTGTGCTTCAAATTACTACAACACAAAACATATCTACAAATTTCTATTAATGATTCCTAGGACAATGTAATTTAAACTAGCTGTGGTGAAAGACTATTCGCCCATCTTTCAGTCTGTCCAGATCTACACATTTATAAAATAAATAAAAAAATATTTATTAGAATAAGAAAAGAAATAAAAAATAGGAGCTCCATTTCATTGTTATTAGATTCAATAGATAGAAATTACTCTGTCAAGCTACTAAACAAATTTCTGAATGCTTACTCTCCATTTCTTTGTTGCCAGAAAACAGTAACAAATAGTTCAAAGACCAACCCTACGACCTGGCACTGCCCGTCACTACCAATGGCACAGGAGCACACTAAACATGCGACTTGAGGAATGCTGATAAACAGGCAATCTGCTGAAGTGTTAGTTATCATCGTGATCATTTTTCATTCTAAATACCCTTAAGCAGAGACTGAGAGAGACCATTCCATTCAGATGAACAAGCTTGTACTTCCCTCCACATGCCTGTCTGACTCTCCCAACTTAAGCCCCGCTTCCTTCCTTTTATAAAGAGCAATCTTGTCTTTTCTGGTATTGAATTCCTTCTGGCAGAGAAGCATCATATTATTTAACCAAAGAAAAGTCCAGAATCCGTTTACAAGCAGAGAAAAGGTATGATATTGAATTCCTTCTGGCAGTGGAGTCTCAAATTATTTAGCCAGAGAAAAGTCCAGAGCTTTCTACAAGTAGAAAAGCAAAAGGTTAAAACAAAACCTGATTTCAAAACGTCTCATAAAATATACATATTCAAAATAGAAGAAGGATTCCCACCTATCATCTGATCCCCTCCAAGTCCACATCTAGCACCCCTTTCTGTTCCCCCAGGTCACTAGTGAGCTCATCTCACTGGTCTGCACTCTTCCCTCCCCAGCCAAGCACTGAAAGTCCCCACTCGAGGCTGTCTTGTCAATCACAGTTCTTTTTCTTGAGACATCAATATATTACACGTCCAGAAAGATTTGTTTTAAGCATCAACTCTTTTCTCTTTTTCAGCAGTGTTCTATAAGAACATTGTTACTTAAGAAATATGTCAAAGTTCATCCTACCACAGTTATACCTTTGACAGCAGAGACAGTTAAACTCTCTACCTATAAATATGTTGTTGTTGTTGTTGTTATGTGCCGTTGAGTCGCTTGCGACTCACAGCGACCCTATGCACAACAGCCCTAAACTCTGCTCTGTCTTATGCCAATTGCCCTGTCTCTGACACTCCCATGCCAATAACCCCAGTCACCGAATCAATCCACCTCATAGAGGGCCTTACCCTCTTGTGCTGTCCCTCCACCCTCCCTAGCATGATGTCCTTCTCCAAGGACCGGTCTCTTCTTACAACATGTCCAAAGTATGTTAGACACTAAACGTCGGAGACACTGGTCCCAACATAAGAAACTACCAGAAGCTGAAATGTTTGGAATCACAGAAGCCAAGGATGCTTCATATATAACCTATTAGATCAAGGACTGGTCAATGGGAGATAGATGTGAAGGGAATGGGTAGAAGTAGATGGGTATCCTGGTGGAAGGTGGTGCAGGGAAATAAGTGGATAAAGACATGTGTTGCAAAGGCAGGGACAACACTGATACTAATGGTTAACTCCACAATAAGGGATATACCTTTCACTTTTTCTATAAAATGCTGGTCTGTCTGATACTTCTCCAAATCTGAACATTCAGATTATGAGAGACTAGGAAGAAGGACTGGCCATCCACTTCTGAAATAGCAGGCCTCTGAAAATCCTATGTACCTATAAATATAGGTATATAAATATAAAAATAATTCTCTACTATACACAGAATGATGTGTTAAGTTGGAAAAATGGCACCTAATGCTCTCTACTTAAGTTTAGGGAAAAGCTCATATTAAGTTGTGAATTTTTGTTCTTTAAAATTTCCCTCAGATCTCATGTGCACATCACGGCAATGTGCTATATTAGAATATGAAACATTTTCATGTGGATGTACATACAGGGAGCTCTGGTGGCCTCAAGGTAAGAAGTTCTGCAGCAAGCGTGAAGACATGTGGTTTGCATCCCCCAGCTGCTCAGTGGGAGAAGGATGGGCAATCTCTGCCCTTGCGATTAGCTGCCTCTGAACACCTGCCAGAGGGTCAGCTATGGGTTGGTTCCAACTCAACAGTGCATGGGGAAAACAGGGGCCCCAGGGATGGCTTTCCTGCTAGCACTTGCACGCCATCTGGCAGCACCCTGCATGAGGGGCCTGGCAATCTCTGCTCAGAACCCTGAGACAGTGCTATTGAGTACACACGGGGTTGCCTGGAGTTGGAACTTATGTAAGAGCATCTTACAACAACAAACAACGGGAAATGTAATTCAAACAATACAATTGTTACTTCTTCACTTGTGGTTTTCTACTGTTTGAATTTCTAATAAACATATCATATATATAAGTATCTCATATATTATTTTCTCATGTTAATCAATAAAGGAAGCATATATTCAACTAAGAAAGTTGAAAAATAAAAAAAACATTGCACTGTGTTTCTATGCAAATAACACTCATGTCTTTATTTGTTGGCTCTTCCCTCTTCCCAGGGAAATATGTCAGTAAATGTGCTATGCTAATTTAATGGTAGTAATGTGCAAAAAAATGCTATGTTAGCATTTATGGAAATGCCTGGGGGCAGAGAGTAGTCAGCAAACAAACATAGATGGCGTGCTATTTTTGTAAAAATATAATATACATCAATTTGCTTTTAAATATTCATTTCTTTAAAATTATTATTAAAGAAGTTGAAACAGAACTGTGTACATTTTATATAATAAAATATAATCTTACCCTTTTCTTGATGATCGCAGGAACTTTGGTATCAGCTTTGGGTTTATCTGTAACATAATAAAACATGGCTTCTTGAGAAAAGTACCTAGACTACCATTCAAATAAGCACCAGGTTATCTAACCGGAGTTTTTGGCTTTATCATGTTGTGCTAATAGTACTTTTTAAAGCATTCCATTTGAATGAAACGCTAATAAACTAAAATCTTGGAGTTGAGAAGAGTGGTCTTAAACTAACATTACCAGGAATCTTCATACTTACATGACAAAGCTTCTTCCTTAAATGTGACTGATTAGCAGGACATCCTGGAATCAGCATTGCTCTTACTACATGGAAAACATTTACATTGCATAATGGTTTCTTCTACACTGAATAACTTCCCTGGATGAGACTGTTTTGCATCACAAAGATCATATCTTACAGGCATTAAGTGCTGAATAGTTTCATAATTAGTAAGTATGCATGGATTTTATTTATCCAAAGTCTTGATCTTGCATAGAACTGAAATATATATTTTAGCTAAACAAATTATTGCAACTTATGAATCTAAGTGCACTGAGCATGTCTTTGGTGTACTCTAGTAGATAACATGAAGTATAAAACAATGCCTAAGCACTCTAAGCTTCAGTTTCCTTATTAACAAAACAGGGGTAATAATGCGTATCCCACTGGTACACTTTGAGATTTGAGAAAGATAACATATGTAGAGCTCCTAAGATAAGAATGGGCCAATATTAAGTCATCAACAAGAACTCTCTTCCATGTTAGCTGATAAGGACATTGTGTGTGTGTGTGTGTGTGTGTGTGTGTGTGTGTGTGTGTGTGATCTTAACCCTTGGAATACCAGGAGAAAATGTTACTGTCATGATTTTTTTTCACTATTACTTAAGTTTTAAATGTTCACACCATCCCTTTATTTAAAGAATCCTTTCCATCTTTTTGGCAGAGTTGTTAATAATTGATAAAAAATGACAAAATAGCAAAATATTGTAAGATAAAGGGGGAAAGGAGATTACCGAAATCCCATAATGTATGTTAACTCACAACGGGTTTGTGAAAGCATGTAGTTACTATAAGATGCAATAAGTTTTGTTTTACCTACAGGAAAAATAATAAATCCTACTTTCTTTTTGTTCTTTTGTAAACCTGTAATATGAATAAAGAAGTTCTAATGGTTTCAGAGATGATGAAAATGACACAGGATAGGGCAGGGTTCAGGTCAGCTCTTACAGGGTTGCTATCGTGGCCCAGCGGCAAGAAGTTGTGCTTCATTCCTGAAGGCATGCAGTTCAAATCCACCAGCGGCACTGCAGGAGAAGGATGGGTAATCTCCTGCTGTGCAATTAACTGCTCTGAAAACTCACCAGTTCTGACTCAGCAGCATACAACAACAACAGTGTAGACAGCAAGGAGTTGCACATCTCAGGTGGTTCAAATTCACTAGTTGCTTCACGGGGAGAAAAGGGACAGTCTCCTTTCATGTGATTTACAGCCTCTGAAAACCTGTGGGGCATTAGCTGTGACTGGTTCGGACTCAAGGGCAACGTGATTTGTTCGTTGTTGTTTTTTTTTAAATAGGAATAAAAGTCCCAAAAACATCAAGCTATAAATATAGTTACAATGGCACAAAAAAGAAACACAAAACTAAAATTAGACCCAATGAAATCTCATGGTATACAAAGGGTTAACCAAAATAGAAGGAAAAGTTATGATGTTTGTCTTCAAAACATAACTCACTCTTATATAATGTCCCTATTATGGAGATGAATTGTCAACAAAAATATTCACATTGTGGTAACAGGCACTTCATGATCAAAAGTTACAGCATCTTGTGCTAATCCAGCCGCAAAGTTTTAGGAGGTAACAACAACGATTTTAATTTGCAACTGACAAAGAGATCTTCTGACATAATACTTGAAAACTGTACATTCTCCCAAGGAGCAGGTAGTGGGTTCAAACCAGCCACCTTTAGGTTAGCTGTGTTAACTCCCTACAGAAGATGCCACCAGGACTTCCTATAATCACTACAGGAGGGACCAATCCCTGAAGAAGGACATGATGCTTAAAAAAAAAAACCACCCCAAAAAAACCCCAAAATGGAGTCTGTGAAGGCGAGGAAGACCCTTAATGAATTGCTTTGCACTTTCAGAGAGAAAATGCTCTTCGGTTCTAAAGCGAGATAACTATTCACTAGACACTCTGGACATGTCGGAATGACAGAGCACCTAGGTGTGAGTACTCTGGTCCATGCGACAGCGGCAAAAGGCATAGCTTGACAACACTGAGAGAGGGGGTCAACTGCTCGTGTGAAAAAGATTTAAGACCACTTTCAAAAGTAAATGTCTCTAATATTTCATAATATTGTTTAACTCTCAGCTGAACTCACTGCGGTGGGGTCAGAGTTGACTCCTCGCTGACCCTGTAGTGGGTTTGTAGAGGCTGTAAATCATATGAGTGGCAACTGCCCGTCTTTCTTCCTTGGAGCTGCTGGTTGATAAGCACCACCAGAGCCAGCCGTGTGACTCTGAGTCAGAAGTGTGACTCCCGATGGACCATACTGCCAGAGCTCCCTGACTGTTTATAGCTCTATGGTGCATAAAACATGCAGGATTGTGGCAAAGTGAGTTCAACTTTCACTGGTAATAAACAAGAGACATTGCATTTTCAGCAAAGGAATAGAATCAGATTTTCAGTAATAAATGTCTTTTTGCTAGAATCAGAGTACACCAGAGTAATGTCATTCTTTTCACATTCTTTTCAAACCATGACACCTAGATTAATACCTAAACTTTTAAAAAATAAATGCATATAAGTTTAAAAACATACATATTTGAAAGTTTTCCAAAGGAGAGAAAAACAAATATTTTAACATTTATTAGCACCGAGTCAGATAATCTTAAAGAATAGTATGTTTATACTTCAGGGGATGATCTAAGAAGGAACTCATTAAGTTATAAAATTGTAATGATCACCAAGCAGAAAAAAGTAAAATATTCCTTTATTGGCATTATTATTTTATGTGAAAATAGTTTTTAAGAGTAAGTAAGTGTTCTAAGTGTTATCATCCTTAAGATGAATTCACTTAAACCTGTCTATAAAGTATAATATTTTTGATTGAAGTGCATTTTCTCCTTGAAAACGGCCGGATTTAGTGGGTAAGGAGTTGCACTGCTGAACCAAAGGTGGCACCTCTCTGGCAGCTGACACCTCTGTGGCAGTGTGAACACACCAGCATCTGTGCAGGTATTGTTGTTAGGTGCCACCCAGTGAAGAACAGCCCATGGCGACTCTGTGAACACCTGATCTGGCCCCTGTCCTATCCTGTGCCATCCTCTGGGGGAGAAGGTAGGCACCCTCCTCCCATGCGCTTTACAGCCTCTGAGAACCTGCTGGAAAGTCAGCTCTGAGTTGGTTCTGACTCCAGGGCAATGAGTGTATGTAATTGGGGTCGGAATCAACAAAAACAAGATATTTGAAAATTAAATAGAATTTAATAATTAATTAAAATACTATTAAAATATAAAATATAAATATAAAAAAGTTTTAGAAGCACTTGATGTTACAGTAATACAGCCTAAGTGCCTTTCCATAGGGTAGAATCTGACTCATGGAGGCTCTCTGTTGGGGTCCCAAGGCTGGTTCTCCAGTGAAGCACTTGGTGGGCTCATGCTGCCCTGCTTTGCCTCATCCAGTGAAACTTCCACCCTAGGAGGGCCTTGTGGAGCAAGGACTTCTGATTCTGAAATGATGCTTCTGCAGTACACACACAGTAGTCTAAGAGTACGGACGACGAAGGCACCCAGAGAAAGTGCCCATCAAAATCTCCACATTTAAAGTGTGCACAGGTCACTAAGATCGTTCCAGGGGACAAATACTACCAATTCACACAAAAATCATTTTTTCAGTGTACAGCATATACGACATATATCCCAATAGAGAGAAAGAAGGAAAGGGTTTTTTAATGTCCAAACATACTCTGGAAAACATGCATCTGGATAACTTATTTTGATAAAAGAATAAAAAAACAAGCCCTGTACCCTGTTTCGAGAGGTAGCACTGCTCCAGCCTTTGCTCGTGAGAGGATCCACAGAGCAGGGACGCTTCCTGTAGCGCACTTTTATACCACTTCTTCCTAGTCTTACAGTTTTCTGGCTATAGGCATAGATAAAGAAGAAAACTTATTTTAAAATATATAGTTTACAGTTTAATCCACTTAATTTAGCTCCTGAGTAAAAACTAAATCTAAATTGGAGAAATACATAATATTTTACTTAGATTTCTTGCATCTGATTATTATTTTATTGTTTTTCGATTTATCATGTCAATAGGCAAGATATTCTTGATACACTAAGATAATGTTACAATAGCATTCAGTGCACACTTAAAATTACAAAAATTGAAGACGTCACTGTAATTAACAAGTTGTCATCATTAATTTATTAAAATAATAATTATTTCCTTTTATGTGGCATATTAATGATACTAAAGCTGTAGATATTGCAAAGCAGGTATTCACTGTAATACAATTTATCCCATTTTGCATCTGATTTAGGGTTTATGGTCAATATTGACCTATGCACACAAGCTACTTAAAAATGTGTGCCTCTGTCTCTTTATCTATAAAAGAGGGTAAAAGTGTATATATCATAATGTTTCAGGAGTACTAACTGAAACAATGACATTGTTTTTACTAAATGCTAAGGTTTTTTTAAAAAAGAAAAATCCAAGAATTATTGTGTAAAAAATAACTATATAAAGTTCTTCACAAATGCTACCTAATTTTCAGTCTCTAAATATCAACCATCTGCTCATTTTAATACTTCCAATTTCTTATTTTTCACTTTCTTTCTGCACTTTAGTTATTTGTTATCATACCTTCATATATAAAATGAAAATTTTATAAAGTGAGAGAAAATATTTCATCTTTCTATCCTTCACAGTACCCATTTCCCTAATTCTGTTAAGTGCATATTGTACAGTATAACAGGTCTAATAGGTTGTCAGGCATCATGAAGGAAACTACAACCCATCTTAACCCTATACACAGCCTGCACTATCCTATACCATCCTCTCCATTTCTGATGTACTTGAGACTGTTGTTACATCACTGTGTCTTTCCAAACACATGTCTTTTTCCAAGGGCTGACTCCTAACAATATACTCCAAGCATATGAGAGGAAGGCTCCCCATCCTTTGCTCGAAGGAGCATCCTGGTTGTACTTTCTTAAAGACAGGTTTGTTTTTTGACAGTCCATGAGACATTCAGTGCTCTTCCCCAAGAGTACAACTCAATGAAGTTGGTTCTTCCTCTGTCACCCTGATTCACTGTCCAACTTTCAGATGCACAGCAAGTAAATGAAAAGATCATGGATTGGATTAGGTGCACCTTAGTCTTTAAGCTGACATCATTGCTCCTAGTACTTTGGAGAGATCCTTTATAGATTTTATTAATGCAGTGTCTTTGATTTCTTGACTGGTGGTACCAAGAAGGTTAACTGTGGTACCAAGAAAGAGGAAATAATTGACAATTTCATTCCTTTTCCCATCTATCAAGATACTGCCTACTGACCCAGTAGTGAGAATTTTTGTTTTCTTGATGTTGAGATGTGAGAGTTAAATGGTCTTTCACATTGATTCAATTGTTTCAAACAGAGAAACATATCATCAAACATGAATCTACTTACGCACATATAATCTACAAATCTCATTATTTCATGTGGGAGGAGGAGGAAAAATGGTAAGCAGATAAAACTCAATAAACATTGGAAAATGTAATGTTTTAAGAATGAAGATTTGTTATGGTACAATACTTAAGCACTGGCTACTAACCCAAAGGTTGAGAGTTGAAACCCAATAGCTTTTCCAAAGGAGAACCATGGAGTAGTCAGTTTTAGCCATGATGTGCAGCCTTGGAGACCTATGGGTAAGTCCTATTCTGTTCCTCAAGGCCAAAGTGAATTGGAATTTGACTCAAAAGCAGTCGGTTTGGTGTTCAGTTGTTTTTTTAAAAATTTCCATTTAAGCTGTATGTAAATCTTTCCCGTAAAACAAAATGTCTATGAATGTATGAAAAACCAACATGATTTGAAGGCCTTAACTCAAATGAAAAATAAATAATTTAGAAAGATAAAAAGGAATAAAGCTAACCTTTACATAATTATTTCTCCAGCTGAAATATTACAGTAAGTTAATAAATTATACAGGGAAATCCTTTAAACATAGCTACATTGCTAAAAAGTTGACGTTAAAGGAATTTCTTGCAAAAACATAACTTGATATAGCTAAAACCAAAACAAAACCCCCAAAAATCTTGGATGAGTTTGGGAAGCTGATTTGCTTAACAATCTCTAGCTAGGTTTTGAGAATTTATCAGTAAGAATGTGCCACCTAGTGGTGACAAAATTAAAACCCAAAGAACTCATCCAAAAGGTCTTGTTTTGTGAAGAATTTTCAATACTCGAATAGTCGCTCACGCTTTGGGCATGTTCCTAGGGGAGGCTGTTCCTTGCAAAGGAACACGATGCTTGGAAATACGGAGGGTCAACGAGAGAGAGGAAGATCCCAGCGATTCAGCAGTGACTGCAGCAATGGCTTCCAGTGTGTCAGAGATGAGGATGGCACAGGACTGCAGAGAGTGCAGGTCTGTTGTCCATAGTGTCGTTAGAGTTATACTAGACTCAATTCTACCTACAAACCAACTACACAACATCTGGTACTCATACTGATGTTTCTTTCCTTTTCTCTGGCTGCAATAAAATAAAAATACTTGATAAAATTTCTGCTCCCTCATTTCCTGTTATTTCTAAGTCTTTCGTATCTTTCTATTGCTCTTTTCCCTTTTCAGTATCTATGAGCATTGCCTTCTTTATTATTTTCTGTGAGTGAAAGTTTACAAATCACTGATTTTTCATACAATCATTCATAGCCATTCTGAGGTGTGTTGTAGTCCATGAGACTGGCTCCGGATAGATAGGACAGGCTTCAGAGCTGTTGTGCATAGGGTTGTACGAATCGAAGGCAACTCGGCACAGAACAACAACAATGTAATTAATTAATTACGGTCAACTGCAGGATAGGGCAAGATTCAGATCCACTGTTCACAGGACTGCTATGAGTAGTAGTCAATTCAACAGTACCTAACAGTAACAGTCAACTGTTTCTTATATATTGCTTTTCCCTTGACCAAACTATTATCTTTATTGAATTTTTACTCCACTCACTCTCTCTTTCCCTTCCTATTACCTCTTCAAAATTGATTCTGTGTGTAAACCTTTCTTTAGCTTTTTAAAGCAGTGGTCTTGTACCACAATCATCTTTTTATGACAGTTATTTAAACAGCACAGTTTATTGTAGATTAATAAATGCTGTGCAGTATTTTACAGATTCTTGGTAATTGTTTAGAGAGGCACAATACTGTATTGTGTGAAGGTGCCATAGTTTTTTTTTCAGTCATATGTCCACTGCTAGACACTGGTTTTTCCAACTCTTTGCTAATGTAAATGCTGCTATAAACGTGTGTGCGTGTGTGTGTGTGTGTGTGTGTGTGTGTGTGTGTGTGTTAGTTTAAGCCACTGCTCTTGTTTCTTTGGGCCATGGATTTGGGATTGCTGGACCAAGCTGAATTTCTATGCCAACTTTCTAAAGAAGTGTCACACTGCGCTCCACGGTGGTTATACCACTTTACATTGCCACCAGCAGTGAATGAGAGTGCCAATCTCTATGAAAGTTCACCAGCAGTTATTGTTTGCATCTTGTTGAACTTTGCTACTGTTGCTGATAAGTGATTATATTTCACCATCCTTTTGAATTGCAAGGTCAGAGTTGCATCCTTTCTCCACACCTATTTAATCTGTATGTTGAGCAAGTAATTCAAGAAGCTGGACTATGAAGAGTAATGTGGCATCAAGATAGGAAGAAGACTCATTGTTTTTAATGAACTAAAAACTAAAATTGTTTTTAACGATTAAAAGCAGTGACCTCAGACTGACTATAGGAAGGACTTGGCTGTCTAACCTTCAGGTTCCAGGAATCCTATGATTCCTAGATGTACTATATTATGGATACATTACTTTAGCAGCTTGGGTTCTCTCCATCAAATCTATAAAACTTAGAATGGCAGATTTAAAACATAGACATATTAAAAAAAGAAGGTGGGTATTCAGTCTAAAAACTTCTATGAACTTAAAAGTATAAAATATGGTCTTAGTAGATGAATGAGAATAAAATTTAAGCCCAAACAGATGGCAGAGAAAAAACGTGCCCTAGGTCTGAGAAAATAACTAGCTGTCCTCCAAATCAGAGCGGTAAGTAAGCCACTGTCCTACATGACATTGTTTTAAGGAAATGTTACTCGTCAAATATAATGTCTCCTTTCCCCAAGGGTTTCAGAAGATAGTGGGCCATTTCTTCTCAGTAGCTTCTGGTTCACTGAATACTGCATACAAATAAGGACTGGAGAATTTAAGTACAAGTAAGCATATGTGTTTGCCACCTAGAAAGGCCAGTGAACAGAAATCTATGATTTGCAAGGAACTCTTTTCCTCTGTTGCTTTGAATTTTAGGACAACTTTGCCATACAAGAATCAAAATATACTAAGCTAGGAATATAGCAAGGTCATCATTACGTCTCCAGACTTAAATGTGTGTAAGTAATACGTTAGCCCTCATCTAGTCAGGATTGTAAGAAATTTTATCTCAAAAAGTTGGATGTCTGTCTTTCCTATCTGTAGGGTCAAAGGAAAGCATGAACAAGTAATCTTCAGTCAGCCACAGTCAAATGGGTAACATCTCTGGTAAAGCTCTTTGAAATCAGACTATCCAATAACTTCCATCACGCAGGGCAAGGACAAGCTTTCCACCATTTCCCAAGTCTTAGGGAATCTCTTCTCTGCCTTGCTGCTCTTGTCTTTCCTCTGAGAGGCAATGCCCATCCTGTTCTCATCTAATCCTCTCAAACCTAAAGACTCTGGACAGAAACACAGACACGCTTTGCTTTTTATCCCCACAACAGAAACCTCCCTGAAGCATGAGAACCCATTGCCTAGATGACTTTTCTGGAGGAGGAGGAGGAGGAGTTGATTGCCATCGGGTCGGGTCAAGATCGACTTACAGCGAATCTATGAACAAAAGACCTAATGCCTTTCCACAGCTAT